GTTTGAGTTGTTAAAAAATTGCTGTCAAATTAGATGTGGGCAAAGTAACAATAAAAGGTTAGGTAAAAATCGTTAAAAATTCAGAGGGATTTTATTACTGCATTAAGATAGGCTTTTATTCCGATTTAAAAGAACCCAAACCGGAACTCACAGAGAACGCAGGATGGGTGTGGTTTATGCTCCCCGACTTCAGTGCAGCTGGTGGACCCAATCACAGAGGGGCTCTCCTGCACTAGAAAATTGGTGACTAAAAGTACATTTTTCTGTTTTACTTTAGAGGAAATTCTTAATGTAGATTTTTGCTTGAATTGCTCTTTATGTTTAATGGGTGAAATATTCATCTCAGTTTTACTTGATCCAATGGCTTCTACTGGGCTTCCTTTGCATTTTTGTGCAGAATCTAGCTTGCATGGTTCATGGAGTCATGGAAAGGTTGCTGATTAATATTTGTAGAGAGGATAAACAAATTTCTCAGCAACAGAACAAAGTCTGACTGGTTAGTTAAAATCACTGCAATAAACAGCCACAAAAGTGGAAGTATAAATTGCTATGTTCTGGGAGGTAAAGGGAGACACCATTTAAATTGGTTTGCAGTATAGATTGAGACAGGTAGGTGAGGCAGGTAATTGATGAAAAGTTTCATGGTGTTTGATTCAGTCTGTTCATTTGATTTGTGTGGTGATTAGGAGCAATTGTGAACTTGTAGGAGGAGAGAGTAAAGCAACTCAGGAAATGAATGAAATGTGGAGGTAGATTAAAAGAGGAGAAAGAATAGAGAAAGGGAAGGTAACAAAGAGGCTATTGTATATACCCCAAGTTCTTACTGTGTGTATGGAAATAAAATATATTCCAAACAATAATGAGGACAAGTAATGGTGGCAAATTAGTTCTTAAGCTGCTACTGGAGAGTAAGCTCCTTCACAGTGAGAATTTTCTTACGTTTATCTTTGAATCTCAAGAGCTTAGCCCAGAATTGGCGCAATGTAGTCAATACATAAATGTCTGCTGAATGACTTAATGACCGAAGGTCTGAAAGATTGTGAGACATAGATGTCTGAACATTAAGCTCAAATGTGTGGGAAGGACAACAGCACAAACAAAGGTGGCTGTGCTGTGTTGTAATTCACTAAGTGTGGTGTTTGAAACAGGCAGTGTGGGGCTGACAGGTTTGGTAGACTCACTCTAGGACATCTGGTCCCACATTAATCTCATCTGGAGCTGTGAACAATTCTCTACAGCTAAGGTTGGTGATCAGGAACTCTTCCTAGACTATAAAATGGCCCAAGAAATATTGGATCATTGTGGACCCATACTGATAAGCTCCTGGGGTTGAAGAAGGGCAGCCCAAACCAGATTTAAGGCTATTCTACCCAGATCTAAACTTTATGTTCCACGCCAGAGCATTCTGTGGAATAGAGTCAGTCAGTCCATGGGCTTCATTCTAAATTTTGTGGTGCCTGATTAGTGTTTTTTTTTTTTTTTGCCCACTTTTATTTTCTGAGAAGAACTTTCAGTAATCAAAGGACAGGTCTTTTAAAAATGCTAACATTTGGACTTTGATCTTTGGGGAATGGATATGAAAACACACTCTAGAAAATCAGAGACTTAGTGATTTTAACATTATTTCAGCAACTTAACTGGTACCCAATATTTAAAGACGTGGGTTATCTCTTTTATGCCACACTGTGCAGTCTGTATTGGTTTCCTTTTTGTTTCCAGGTGTCATTCCAGACTGAGTACCTGGACCAATGCCTGACACAAATTAGATGCTCAATAAAAGCTTGTTGAATAACTGACTAAATGCTCCTTTCTACTCCCAAGCAGTTGCTGGCTGACCTAGCAACATTTGGAAGACTGCTGGATAATTCTGGGCCACCTAGGAGTTCAGATTCATGTTAAACCATACTAACAAGTGGGCACAGTGCAGACAAAATATTTTTTCTGGAGAGATCTTTTCTTCAACTGACCCTTGAAAATTACACTGTGTTGGCTTTCATGCTATGGCGTTAAATTTACTCATCTAATTAGATGTTAGAAAAAGGAAGGGAAGATTTTTAGAGAGAAAAAGAATTGAGGAGCACTTTTAACCAAATACTGTTTGAATCAAATCTAAACTCTTTATATAAAGCAGAGCTCTCTGGAAATACTTTTATATGGCGATGGAATCTTGTCATCAATTGTGGTGCGATGATTCTTTGGTTGAAAAATAAACAACTAGCAAAGATGTCTGATAATGACCCTCGATAGAAATCTTTTGAATTAGAGCTTTTAAGTTCTAGACTTCAAATACTTTCTACATTATGGTATGAGATACACTAGTGAACTCTCAGTTATCCATACATATTTCCCAAAGCTTAAGTGCTGACCAGTGTATATCTTGAAGTGTTTTATGCTGTAAAATTAATTATAATTTATGTGATATGTCCAAAAATGCAGACATTTGATTTTTCTCTTTTACTTTAAATGGTATTGTATAATACCATTTAGCCCAGATATTGTATATAATTCTTCTGATTCTTTTCACAAAGAGAAAATTCTTCTTACTTCAATGAAAGTTCTACTAAGCCTGTTTAAGTTTGTCTTCCTCATGTTGCAAATGCTAATAAGGAGGGACAGGAACCCCAAGGTCATCACACAATAGTGAGAGGAATGAAGGGATACGTCTAAAACGGGACCCTGTACGACATGACATAGCTGTCACCAAAGAAGCTGTCTTTCCAACCAAACAACCCAGGGCAATTTAGTCCTGAACTCGCAGCGCTGTTGCCATGGTTTCTAGACAAAGTCGACAGGGCTGCATTCCAATTATATCTGTCAGAATGACAGATAACTAAAATATTGAAAATGGGGTAATAAAATCTCAGGTCACCCAGAAGAGATGCGATAGATATGAGTGACAGAGAAGTGAGAGATGCAAGTTTATGTTGGTTCAGAAAATACCTTTGTGATTTCAAATACAAATGTATATTCTGCAAACTCTCCTGCTGTTCAATAGCAATTTTATCCACCATTCAGTTCAGTATTCAAAACTAGGCATCTCCTGCTAAATAGAAATATTCTTAATAATATTTTAAACTTAAAGAATTCATGAATTAAGAGAATTTGAGAAAAAATTTCTTGAGCTGTGAAAATAAAAAGAATCCCTTGAATTCTGATGATAGTGCAAATACAGCAATGCTATTTTTATCTTTAATGCTTCCAGTTGAAGGCATTATTGTAAACTTTGCTCCCAGCTGTAGGCAGTATCTGCTGACCAGCCATATTTTGCCAGGGGCAGCAGGAAGCTTGTTGCTTTGCTATTAGACTACAATGGAGTCACTTGCTTCTGTTCAATGAGAGGAATAATTAGGTAGGGATCAGTGAATTTTAGAATGGTGTTGGTAGATAGGACTTGGGTGTCAGAGAATTTCATGTTCCTGCATCTCTGCAATTTAGCAGAAATGGAACATTTTAATCCCTAAGTGGCACTGGGTAGTTTATTCAATCTTTAAAAGTTAAAAATAATTTAATCTAAAATCTTTAAAACTTAAAATCTCAGTTTCTTCATCAGTAAATAGAGTAATAACTATGTCTCAGGGCTGTGATTCCAAATTAGATAATGCACATAAAACCCTTAGCTGAGCATCTGGTTCATAACACAGGTGAAGATAGTAGATGCTATTTCTTTCATTATTGCTCTATTATTATTACCTCCTATTATATACAATGTGACAAGTGTGCATCTGTAACAGAGAAGCACAAGTGACACTGGTAAATGCAAGGATTTTAAACCATGTATTTATAAAAAGGTTAAGAAAAAAGGTAGCTCACATGTGACATTAGATGTGTCTGGAAGATGATAAAAGAAAAGCACTAATTTGATAAATGGTATTTCAAGGATTATTGGCAGCATAGTGAGGTGGAACATTCTAGATGTCTTGAAGCCTCAGTCATGCCTCCTGAGCACCCCTTTGTGGATATTTCTTTTGTGACACTTTGAGGGCAACATATCCTTTCTGTTAACACATTGAGGATAGCTGTTACAATTCTATAAAAATCAGTTTTTATTGCTTTTTATTCATCAATTCAAAAAGTTTAGCTGGGTTCCTTAGTTTGACTTATGCTACATTCAGAATACATTTTTTTTTTTTTGCTCAGCAAGAATTGATTTGATTTCACAATGGAAATAATTAGGAAAAGCTGATGTATTGTATTTAATAAGGGATTTCTATATGATAAATCTTGCAAGAATCAATGATTCTTCTACATAAGTAGGAACAATGATAATGTAAAAATGTTTTTTTCTGTTTTGAGACTGCTTTCAGGAAAAAAATATTTTGCAGGTTGGGAGTACAATCTTTTGCACAGTTTATTTTGCTCTGTTTATGTGGTCTTCACATGTTGTGGTAAAGTTTTTTCATTTATAAACCCTAAAATCTGATATCTACCATAAACATATATGTGATCAAGTATATAATTTTACTGAGTGTTTATGGTCAAAGCAAGTAGAGACCTGGACAATTTCAGATAAAAATGATTAAAAATGTTTGCTTATTTTGCAATTACATAAAAATAGGTTTCATTTGTGATTCCTCATTTAAAATTACTTTTGTTATTGAAATTTTGGAGTAACTGGTTATGATCAAAATGTACAGTGTTATTTCTAGAACAAATAGGGCAAAAGCTCCAATAAATTTAACTTCTTTCATCTTCATTCTTCTACCTATATTTTCTAAGTGCTTCAGAAGGAATGCACTTGTCAGGGATCAGTAGCTCTGAGGGTAAACCAAGTTTCCAACCTGCAAATGGGATCTTGAATTATTTCTGTTATGTATTTTTTTCATTGCATGGCTATGTCTCACTGAAACATCAGAAGGAATTAGTTTCTCTCACCCAAAAGCTGGCTTGGGAAGGCGACATGTCTATTTTCATCCTGCCATCTCACAAAACAAAATAATGACATTCCATCAGGCTCATCAAAATTCCGTAAACATAGTGTGAAAAAGGTCTTGGCGGCTTACCTTAAAAGAGATTTCATACTGTTCTCCTCCCCAGATTTCTAAACCTGGATCATAGCCACCTAACTCCCAAAACCATTTTCGATTCACAGCAAAGAGACCTCCAGCCATAACAGGAGACCTGGAAATGAATAAAATAATCTTTAAAGGATGATGAACATCAAGGACAATGATGTTTTGTTTAAAAAAAAAGAAACAAATCCAAGATATTTTCAGTGGTCAACTGCATGGAGTTTTTTAGCACTAGTTTTCTGTAAGTAGTTGTAAGGTTCTTGTACGGTCTGTAATTGTACTTGGAATTCTCACAATGTTTAAACTTAGCAGTTCAGGTTGTAATGCCACTAATGCCCTGTAGAGGCACACTTGCCCCCTAGGTTTATCATTAGAGAGACATACATGATTATTAGTGACTGATATATTGAGAAATATCACTCAATTTTATGTTTTTTTCCCCAAAGTGAAAGGGATATTATCCTGTCAGACAGATAAAATTATAGAAATTGATGTTGTAGACAATATCTTTGATTACATCTCTCAGTACGCATTCACCAAGCATCTGCCATTTATAGGTCATGTCCATTTTACAGACTATCAGATGGACACTCGAACTATAACAACCAACCAGAATTAGTTAATTAATATGCCAAAGCTGGAATTTAAACTAGGTCTTTTCTGCTTAATTATATTATTTTTTTAGGCCTTCTCTGCTTTTTCAAGAGATATTTTTTTGGTCAAAAAAAGTTTGTTCAATATTCCATTTCTGCTAGGATGCATTGTATATATGTTGCTATAGAATAAAAGAATTTAAAATAATGGGGCCCAACTCTAAAAATTTGTAGTTCAAATATAGTTCTTGTTTTTTGAGAGCTCACCATGAGCTGGGCTCTTGGCATAGAGCTTTACCCTATTCCCTTGATTAATCCTCACAGCAGCCCTATTAATATCATCCTTACATACTGTTTGAGGAAACAGGCAGAGGGAGGTTAAAAACAGTGCCCAAGGTTGGAGTCAGTGTGTGGTGGCCTTGGGGCCCAGAACCTCTGAGTTCAAAGCCTTTGAGCTCTTTACCACACTGTTTCTCTTTCAGTGTTTGGGGGTGAAGAGAGGCGACTACATCAATTTGGATATAAAGCAATTAGAGAACACCCTATGTGGAAAAAGCAGATCTATAAACACACACACGGTCAGCACAGTGTTTGTGATTTTTCAACAAGTTTTTGAAACAAAGGGTATTTATAAATAAGGGTATAGGCATTAAAAGTTGAAGATACACATTTTAAAATATGTTTAAACATATTAGACACCAATTTATAGACCCACTGAAGAGTTGCTCTTGGTAACATTAAATGTGGCACTTAAGCAATATGAACCTGAATTTAAGTGTATTATATATTTTAATGACTTTACATGTTAAGATGACACTTGGTCTTCTTCAGTTTAAGAATCTTTTTTAATATTCAGGCTTTATATAGATGGAAAGATTATGTGGCAGGAAGTGATTTTTCTCCTGGGAAAGTGAGCAGAATAAAAAAATCTCAGGCAGATTTTTAGTTTGAAAAAAAACAACAACAACAAAACAACATAGAACCAAATGTACCTTACTTTAGCCCTCTCTGAGGCAGGCTAATCTTTTTCTATTTTCCATGCACTGAATTGCAAAGGTGAATTACAACTGTAGCTGGAACAAATTTGGATTGTAGCATGTATTGGGTACAGCTCACAATGAACACATTATCACAGTATAACCTTTGCTTCTGCAGGGTTTGGGCATCAGTGACAGAAATTCTCAATTCTGTTTGACCTGAACCACAAACAGAAAGATCTTAAGTCATACAAATATACTGATCATGTAAAAAAAATAAGTCCAAAATACATAAAAATTTTACTGTGAAGAATGAATCTCAAAACTAAAATTATCATAGCTACAGAATTCATATAGATATTGGGAAAGAGAAAGTCCTATACTGAATTTTTTTATTGTAAGTAATTTTTAAAAAAATATAATATCTTGTTTTCTTAATGAGTTTATAAAAAAATAAACCATGTAGTATATTTTAGGTTAATTTTAGACAAAATAAAATAAATTCAAATGAATCCCCTTTACCTTCATTGATGTTTTTACCAAGGCCCCAATCAATTAGTGTTCCCAATATTGATTACTGTGAATGACTGATAGAAACAAACTTTTGATTTATGTATGTATTTACTCATATTTATTCACTGATCTTTTAAATAGTGCAATTGAAACACAGATGACATACAATGAATTGCATATTTTAAAGTGTACAATTTGGTAAGTTCTGACTTCAGTGTGTATACCTTTGTGTAGCCACCACCATTTTTAAGAAAAAGAACATATTCACCATCCCAAAAGTTTCCTTATTATAATCCCGCCCTCCTTCATTCCCCTCCTTTAGGCAACTGCCAATCTGCTTTCTGTCACTGTAGGTTAGTTTACATTTTCTATATTTTTATATGAATGGAATCTTATAGTATGTACTCTTTTAGGGAGTCTGATTTCTTACATTTGACATCATTGAAATTTATCAATGTTTTAGCATGTGTTACTAGTTCATTCTGTTTTTTAATTGCTGAGGAGTAGTATTCTGTTTTCATGGACAAACCATAGTCTGATTATCCATTCACCTACTGATGAACATTTGGCTTATTTCCAGTTTTGAGCTGCTATAAATTTTGTGTATTAATCTTGGTGTGGGCATATTCTCTTATTTCTCCCATGAAAATGCCCAGGAGTGGGATGGCTAGATCATATGTGTTTAACTTTTAAAGAAACTGCCAAACTGTTTTCCAAAGTGTTAGTATCATTTTATATTTCCACCAGCAGTGTTTGAGTTCCATTTGTTCCGTATCTTCTTCAATAGTTGATGTGGACAGTCTTTTGAAATTCAGTATTACAACAGGAATGTAATACTATCTTCTTATGGCTTTATTTTTCTTTTTCATAATGATTAATGCTGTTGAGTATGTTTGTGTCATTTCTCTATTTTTTGATAGTCAGGCTGGCTAGAGTTTTATCAGTTTTACTGATCTGTTTAAAGAACTAGATCTGTTTTGGTTTCATTGATTTTCCTTATTGTTTTTCTGTTTTATATTTCATTGATTTCTCTTTGGTCTTTATTATTTTAATTCATCTACTTACTTTGTATTTAATTTGCTCCTCTTTTTCTAGTTAAGTTGGCAGCTGAGATAGCTGAATATAGTCTTTTCTTGTATTCTAATATAGATATTTAATACTATAAATATCCCTTGAATTCTGCTTTAGCAGAATCCCACACACACAAAAATGAAATGAAATGAAATGTGAAAATTCACGTTTTCATTATGCTCAAAGTAATTCCTAATTTCTCTTTTTTTTGACCTATGGATTATACAGAAGTGTAAAATTTAGTTTCCAAATACTTGGGGATTTGTTTGAGATCTTTCAGTTATTAATTCTCATTTATAGTAATTCCATTGTTGTTAGAGAATATATTTTGTATGACTTGAATCCTTTTAAAATTGACTTTTTAATGGCTCAGAATATGGTCTCTCTTGGTAAATGTTTCATTTGTATTTGAAAAGAATATATATTCTGTTGCTGTGGTCTACAAATATTTATTAGGTAAAGTTAGTTGATCATGTTCAACTCTCCTACATTCTTATTGATTTCCTGTCTCCTTGTTCTATCAATTATTGAGAGAAGGATTGAAATATATGACTATAATTCTGGATTTGTTTACTTCTTGCTGTTCCATCAGGTTTTTTTTTTTTTTTGCTTCATGTATTTTGTAGCTCTGTTAGTAAGAAAATAAATGTTTAGGATTTTTATGTGCTCTTGATAAACTAATCTCATTATATGAAGTACTTTTCTCATCTTTGATAATATTCTTGGCTCTGACATCTATTTTGACTTGATATTAATATAGCCACTTCTATTTTCTTTATCTTTCTCTATGTTTTATTTTTCTTTGTATTCTCTAATCACTAGCATTTATCTTTTCACTCTAGCTCTTAAACTAATTGTGTTTTTATAGTTAAAGTGGTTTTTTTCTAGGCAGCATATATTTGCACCTCACTGTTTTACAGCCTCTGCTGTTGGGTTAGTTAGATCACCTGTACTACGGTTTGCCATGTGGCCAGGTGTAAACCTATCATTTTTGTTTCCTATTGATCTTATTTATTGTTTCTTTTTTCTTTCTCTGTCTGCTTTTTGATTAACTGAGTATTTTTCATGATTCCATTTAGCATTGTTTCTTGACATAACAAAAACTCCTTGCTTTGTTATTATAGTGGTTGCTGCAGGGTTTATACCATACATCTTTATTTTTATCACAATTTACCTTCCAGTGGTATTATGCCACTGCACATATATTATAAGAACTTCTCTTCTCCTAACATTTATATTTTGTTGTCATACATTTTACTTTTGCATATGTTATAAATCCCATATTATAGTATCTTTTTATTTAAATATTCAATTGTCTTTTAAAAAGATATAAATAATAACATTTCACATATATGAAATTATAGTGTGAACACCATTTCTCATTTCTTAATTCTTTTGTTTAGATACATATTTTAATCTAGTATTAATTTCCTTCTGTCTAAAGAACTTCCATTAATACATCTTGTAGTGGGAGTGTGTTCATGAGGGGGCTTTTATCTTTTACATACCTGAAAACATCATTTTTTGTCTACACTTTTTAAAGATACTTTTGCTGGCTATTGCTAGGTTCATAGCTTTTTTTCTTTCATTTCTCTAAATATGTTGCTCACTCTCTTCTCACTTGAAAAATGTGTTGTTATTTTTATCTTTTTTTTTTTCTGTAGGTAATGAGCCTTTACTCTTCTGGCTGTTTTGAAGATCTTCTCTATATTATTGAATTTTGTTAAGCCATGACCTGGCCCAGTTTCTTCTGCTTGTAATGACTTGAGTTTCTTGGACCTGTAGATAGAGTTTTCATGGAATTCAGACAATTTTTGACCATTATTTCTTCCAATATTCTTTCTGCCCTTACTTTTCTTTCAGATGCTTCACAAACTCCAATTACACATTTTGTCTATTTTTAAAATTCACTCTTTGTGTTTCTTTTTGGATAGTTTCTATTGCTCTATCTTCAA